AAATATATTTTTTAAATGTTTAGAAAACATGTTCAAAACATTTCTAAACATACAGTACCAAAGCTCAAACTACTCACAGAATGTAGTGGTGTGTCAAGAGAAATAAAGCCTCATTTATCTCAAAACAAGCATGATAGGATGAAACATGATGTTGATATAACAATAGCTAAATTATGAAGGTAGTTGAATTTGTGAATAATAATGAAAAAGGAATCAATTACATTGTAACTAGATCCACTCTTTTTGTTTTGTCCTTGCCAGTAACCTGTACTTCAGTGTAATGCTCCTTTTGATGTAATACCACAATACCACAAAAGGATTAAAATTAATTTTCTGAACAAATTGACTTTTGCATTCATGAATCAGTAAGAATAAAATTGGCATTTTAACATTCAAATAATTTCAATGATATACTGAAAGGCATTCAAAAACAATGAATGAGTATTATTATCAATAGTATGTGTGGCATTTTAAATGCTTTACATTTTATTAATTCTATTTTGCAAGTCAGTTTTTCTTTCTTGCAGTTAATTTACAAGAAAGAAAGTCATGAATTTCTTATTGTTTTTTTTTAATGAGGAATGGTTGTATTTAGTATATTTGATTTTGGATTATTTCCTACGATATGGCAATATTATGTTTTGTTCTTATTTCTCTTTTTGAAATTCACCAAACAAATATAAATTAGTGACAATATGATGAAACTTAATGCGCCCAAGTAAAGTGCTCCAAGAAAGGAATCCTGTAAATTTAAATGTTCACCTGTCAATTTGTTTTTGCTTATATTGTTCTGGAATTAAACTGGTGATATAACCATTTTACGTTTTTATTTTGAAGTATTGCTATACATTAGTGATATTTTTTTTCATCATTCCAATCTGTCTAGGAACAAACATCTTAATCATTAACTTCTCACACTAAGGGTAGCAGTATGTAATTCAATTAACTACTTGTGTAAAAGGTTTTGTTTCTCACAAGTTGCATCCGAAAGGAGAGAGGCTGATATTTATTATATGAAAAAAACAGTATTTAGGATATATTCTTTTGAAAATCATTGAATTGCAAGTTTTTTAAATGTAAAACTATTAATTGAAAAACCTATGCCAGTCAGTTAATTAATCTCAGCACAACATGACAGCTTTTTGCAATTAAATGAGGCTGATAATTAACTTTACTATTACATGAGATTTTTACAATGATGATTTTTACTTTATTAAAAAAAAGGATATTATGTCCATTCATCAAAATGCTTATTTATTACAAAGTAGGTTATCATAGCTGAAACATACGTGTTAATCTTAATTTTTTGTGCAAATAAAAATTATAAATAGTTTTGTGTCTGCCAACAGCAATATCACCCTGCAACTCGTAACTGCAACCCACTGAAATAAGCAGGTGTGAGCCTGGCCAGTAGATGGATGGGAGAGCTCCTGGGAGAGCTAAGGTTTTCTGCTGGAAGAGGTGTTAATGGCACCAATAGAGAGTGCTCACCTCACTAAGTATAGCGATGGGGAAACTATACTGTTAAAAAGAAATGTCCTTTAGATGAGGCATAAAATCTGTGGTCAATAAAAATCCCTGGGCATTTCTCAAAAAGAGCAGTAGTGTTAATTCCAATGTCCTGGTCAACTTTTCCACTGGACTTTACTAATCATGCCCTCCTAATAATTCACATCTGTGAATTGGCTTTGTTATCCTGTTCTTCTCCCCACTAACAGCTGATGTGTGGTGGGCTTTCTGGATACTGTCGCATCGTGCTGCTACATACTGACAGTGGTGGAGTGGAGTCTCCCCTGCCCGAAAAGTGCAACATAGTGATGAAGACTCTATATATCACATATTTTTGCAACTCCCTGGTGAGAGATTCCAACAGCTTTATCCTCAAGGACAGGTTGTTATTCTCTCAGCCAGGCTCCTACTCCACCTTAATTTTAACTGAACTACTGAACCATAATTAATTGCATTAATTTTGTAAAGGAATGCATAACATTTTTTAAAGATTTCTGGAAAGTTAAATATTTATGACTATGAATAATTATGATTTAAAAACAGTATTGTGAAAAAATGTATAAAGTTCTTGAAATGTACATTTGTACACTTTCCAATGTAGCTCCCAACATAAACTGATTAAATCTCCTGTCAAGATTTGCTTCTGGTGTACATAGCATATCACATTGATTCTGAAAAGCCTTTATAGCCTGTCTGTGCCTTCTAGGGATAGTTTTAAGATCCTGCTGTTAACCCACAATATCCTTTATTACTTGTCTCTTTAGTATTTTTCAGATGTAGTAAGTCACTATGTTTTAATGTACATTAAACATTTTGGTACTGCATGCTGGCTAACTGAGTTGCATTTGCTTTTATAATGGCAGAATATAATTATATTTATTTCTCTATGCTTTTTTACAAAAGCTCTGAATCTGTGCCAGATAATAAGACAATAATAATGACTACAGAAATCCACTTAACAAATACTTCATCTTTTTTAGCCGTATGTATGTAGAGTGCACTTTGTTTTTACATTTACTTTAACTTTATGATTCATTCTTTTTAACTATTCAGTGGTTTTATTTTGCATTAAAATCTGTTGCAACCTGAGCTCCTGTGTCACTTTTTGGTTTGATAGAACTCTTCAGTTATAGGGTTGACCTGCGGTGACAGTAAATCAGTTATCTGGATCTTTGTCACATCTCACACATAGTGATGCATATGCATGGATTTAAAGCAGAAAATTAATTGAATCATGATTATATGTATTAATATAACATGTTAAGAAACAATGGGTATTTACAAAGACACTGCACATACTGTAATGACAAGATGATTTATATGGTTTGTAGCTATACACCATGTCCTCTTTCAAAGCTTTCATATTCTGCCATACTAATAGTGGGTGTTTAGTTATCCTGCTTTTCTCAGTTCCTCACAGTGTTCACTGTTTATTTAAATTGATCACTCCATATTTTTTTATTTGATTTGATACAATAGTTTTTCATGGTGAGCACCATTTGAAAGTGCTTTGCAATGAGTCATGTTGCTATAGGACATATAAGCACAGATGGTGAGTTCAAATGTTTAAAGTGCTCATTGTTTAAAATCATAATTGCATGAAGCTGCCAACCAATAGATAAAAAAAACTATCCTAAAAGCTCTTCAAAATTAA